GGACCGGATCAGTGATCTGGAGAGAGGAGATCGAGACACCCCGGACCGGATCAGTGATCTGGAGAGAGGAGATCGAGACACCCCGGACCGGATCAGTGATCTCGAGGACAGAGAGATCGGGACACCCTGGACTGGATCATTGATCTGGAGCAGAGAGATCGGGATACCCTGGACCGGATCAGTGATCTGGAGCAGAGAGAGATCGAGACACCCGGGACCGGATCAGTGATCTGGAGCCAAGGGAGCTGGATTCTGGATGTCTGTGCCTGTCCAGGCTGCGAGCTGCGAGCTGGTGGTCGTGTGGTTACTGCCCGGGTCACCTCTGGCCTCTGCCCCCCAGCCTCCTCACACAGACTCACGGCTGACAGGAAACATCTTTATTCTTTCCGGCACAGGAAGCACAAAACTGTCCAGAAGAGACCCCATGATTCTGTCCTACAGTTCCTACGGGTGGGGGGGTCAGAGGGCGGAGGTCGCCCCTCCCTCCTCCTCCTCCTCCTCCTCCGCTGGCAGAGCCATGGCTGTGGCTCCTGAGCTGCCCTCCTGCCTCCGGCTGGCGGGACGGGGGGCAGAGGAGCGCCCACCCCCCTGCCCAGGCCTCCTGGCGGTGCCGAGTGTCCATCTCTCCCCGGGGACCTCCAGCCCCTCTAGGGCAGGGGCCCGGGCGTGCAGTACAGCTGGCACACTGTGCGGCTCAGCACGGGGCCCAGATTCCTGGAGACAGAGAGACGGGTCACTGCGCCAGCTGTGCAGACAGGGCAAGGCCGGCCCCCTGCTCTCTAGCGCCCCCTGTAGGCGGCTGGCCGCTCCCACGCGGGCGGGCAGGACCCACCTGTGCAGTTTGCCGTATCGGACGGAGGACAGCAGTCTCTCCCTCTCCTGCTCGGTGGTGCAGCTGTCGTAGGCCTGCAGCAGACTAGCGAGAGGCGGGAGAGAGGTCAGACACGCAGGCCCAGGCTGGACTGTCTCCCACTCAACCCCCTCAAGCCCCTGTGATGCTAAATCATTCTGAGCAAACAGCACCACCTAGTGGCTGCGAAGGAGAAATGCAATATCACCCCTAAACAGAAAGGTACAAAGTATTACGGCAGTGATTTCTGACAAGAGATGTACACCTGCTCACAGGTCTGTGTATACCGTACACCTGCTCAGCATAGTTCACCTGTTTACAGTGCTGTAGATACTGCACACCTGCTCATAGTAGATAGGTAAACTTTATTGATCCCTAATGGAAATTGATATAGATAGTTATACAGATGTATAATTGATACAGATAGACAGTGCTGTAGATACTGCACACCTGCTCACAGTGCTGTAAATTCTTCATACCTGCTCACAGTGCTGTACTGCTCGAGAACTGCTGCAGCCTTGTCTCCAGAGATGCCACTGATCTGCATTAGCTGTCGAGCAAAGACTTCCTTCACCGTCTGAGCCTGAGAGGAAACAGAGGAGAGAGACAGTACTATACTGTACTGGACCAGAACACAGAGGAGAGAGAGATACAGTACTGTACTGGACCAGAACACAGGAGAGAGAGAGATACAGTACTGTACTGTACTGGACCAGAACACAGGAGAGAGAGAGACAGTACTGTACTGGATTGGACCAGAACACAGGAGAGAGAGAGACAGTACTGTACTGGATTGGACCAGAACACAGGAGAGAGAGAGACAGTCCTGTGCCGGACCAGAACACAGGAGAGAGAAATACAGTCCTGTGCCGGACCAGAACCAGGATAGAGAGAGACAGTACCTTGTTCTTCACAGCTCCCTGGTTGAAGTCGGTGAAGGTGAGAAGAGAGCAGGGGGGTGTCGGCGAGGGGGGGGGCTGTGGGGGCAGGACACCCCAGTCCTCGTCCCCGGAGCGACTCTGCAGGGTGCGGTTCTGGACAGAGAGACAAACAGGCAACAGCCCTTCAGCACACTGCCTGACCGGAGAGAGTCTAACCTGGAGTCGCACCTCCCCCCGTCGGGCCGTACCGCGTAGATCCTCTGCAAGAACCGGGTCATGACCGTGAGGTAGGCAGCAGACTCTCGGACATCCTGCGTGCGCTTGACGAAAAACCCATCCACAACCTGGAGGGAGGAGAGAATGAGTGAGGGAGTCTGTCTGTCTCTCTGTCTGTCTCTCTGTCTGTCTCTCTGCGCGCTGTACCTGTGTGTTGACGATGGCCTGGCTCAGAGTGCTCTCTGGGAGGCTCAGGTGAGTTGCAGATCGATAATTCTCCACCAGGTATATCGGCTTCCTCAGCCCACAGCGCTTGAGCCGGAACTGGGCAGGGAGAGAACGTGACCGGGAGTCTGAGAGCAGGGACTCCCCAGAGAGGAGGACACGGGTATCGGGGCGCAGGGTGGAGAAAGGGACACAGGTATCGGGGCGCAGGGTACCTTCTGCTCCCGGAAGCGGCCGTCGATGATGCTCCCACACAAGTCGTCCATTCTCTTCCGCTCCACGATGTAATCCAGCACCAGCTCTCGTGCTGGGGGGGCGCGCAGCTGACCTGGCAGGGCGGGGTCGACCCCCCACACACAGTCACACAAATGAATAAACAGCATTTACACCCCTGACCCCCGGCCTCCGACCCCTGACCCCTCACCCCTCACCTGGCACAAAGTCCACCCTCTGCCTGGCCACCCACAGGAAGTCGCCCACGTGGAGCTTCCGGACATCAAACTGCACCCCGTTCCTGCGCAGCTCCAACACCAACTCCTGCTTCCGGGCGCTGGAGCCGCTGGGAGAGAGAGAGAGGGGGGCCTGCTACACAACACTGCACAACACAGACACAGCTGCGCAACACTGCACCACAAATGGCTGCATTCCTCACTGCCCTGTACCCCGTGGTCTCGATGAAGTCCACACACAGCAGGATCTCGAAGGTCCCGGGCAGCAGTGTGACCTCCGGCGTGGGGTCACTGCTCCCACCCCACGAGGCCTTCGAGCTCCCCGAGGCCTGGCTGTTTCCTGCGCCGGAGAGCCCAGGATCCTCTGCCCCTGTCCGGGCCGGCAGGGCAACCGCAGGCTCCTCCTCACTGCTGGAGACGAGACGGAAATGACTGGAGAGGTCCGGCCTTCTGAGGTCACACCTTCCCCCTTCAGCCTGGCCTGCAGAGACTTGGAGAGTCTTTGTTCTAAACTGCTTGTTCAGAGCTTTGACAGGTGTGCGGAGCAGAGCAGAGCAGAGCCCTGACCAAAGGTTGTTATTTATCAGTGTGAGTATTTATCTGTGTAGCTTAATCATTAACTGCCACAGACAGGCGTGCAGGAAACAGAACCACAGAGACCAGCGTGCAGGAACCACAGAGACCAGCATGCAGGAACCAGAACCACAGAGACCAGCGTGCAGCGCACTGTGACCAGCATGCGGGAACCACAGAGACCAGCGTGCGGGAACCACAGAGACCAGCGTGCGGGAACCACAGAGACCAGCGTGCGGGAACCAGAACCACAGAGACCAGCGTGCAGGAACCAGAACCACAGAGACCAGCGTGCAGGAACCAGAACCACAGAGACCAGCGTGCAGCGCACCGTGACCAGCATGCGGGAACCACAGAGACCAGCGTGCGGGAACCACAGAGACCAGCGTGCAGGAACCAGAACCACAGAGACCAGCGTGCGGGAACCAGAACCACAGAGACCAGCGTGAAGGAACCAGAACCACAGAGACCAGCGTGCAGCGCACTGTGACCAGCATGCGGGAACCACAGAGACCAGCGTGCAGCGCACTGTGACCAGCGCCTTCAGGGCCTCACCACTCAGTTCGTGTCTCCCCCGGCTGCGGCTCTTCCTCGCCCTCCTCCTCTTCCTCCTCCGTCAGGTCCACTGTCTGGGACCCCTGCGCCCCATCTTTCAGGGGGGATCCCCGCTTCTCCAGCCTCTCTGCCAGCTCCCTGCCCTTCTCAGTCAGGGAGTACCTGGACACAGACGTGACAAGTGTACCAACATAAAAAAGGGATCATGCAGCCCCAGACCAGCCCTGTCCGTCCACACAGAGACCAGACCAGCAGACCCGTCTGTCCACACAGAGACCAGACCAGCAGCCCTGTCCGTCCACACAGAGACCAGTCCACACAGAGACCAGACCAGCAG